TGCCGGCTCTAGCTCTAGCCACAAACTGTGTATCGCCTGAAGCGCCGGTCCGGAGGACGATCGACGATTGCAAAACATACAGTGATCACTGTGCAGGAAAGTTTTGGGGCGTAATTATAGTCTCGCGCAATCCTGTAATCCATGTTGGTCTGTTCAATTTCTCTCGGCGGTTTCAAGGCACTCTGTCGCAGCGTGCTGCCTGTGGCCAATCGCGCTGTGATTTGTGCTCAAGGGCTCTCACGCAACAGTCGCATGTGCAGACCAAGCACTGTATGGTTTTGTAATGTTCAAGATCTCACCTTCACGTGCCCCCAATCTCGGCCGAAATGTGTCGACTTCGATCGTCGGTGAATGAAGACGGGGTTGCTTTTCGGCGCGGATCCGACCGCTACCTCTCGTTTGATACACAAGTATGACTGTTGTACCATTTGCTGCTGGGCACCTTTTAAAACCGAAAATATATACCATGCGCTCACCAGCAGCCTATGCACGCGACATACGTCAATGGAGTAGGCACCTCCGCACGCTTTCTGTCGAAATGATTCGAGTGAGAGACGGATAGAGTGAGTGCGACGATCGTACGGCGCATCCCTAGTTCGGCGTGCGTTCGAGCTTGCTTGTCCGTTCGTTTTTGACGGTTTCAAAAGCTCGTGGCAAAGTACTGTGTAACTGTCAGTGATCACGGCCGATGTCACGGCACTCGCCCGGCACCCGGATATGTTCATCCGGATAGTCGACCCCGAAGCAATGTAGCCTTGTATTACTCGCATTGGGCTGCACAGACTTTTTGGTTTGACTAGAATCGCTATAGCATAGCAAGTACGGAGGGCCCTTACGCCTACTCGAGCTCAGCAATCACGCTGTTCGGGTCGTATCCTCGATGTCGTTCGAGTCTCGGATCCATCAAGTGAGCGTGCTCATCTCTGCAGGTACCCAGGCAAGCGGCGCGGACGCACCGTGGAAAAGACTGAGGCTGTTTGGTAATGAACGCGAGCAACTCACTCCCACACGTAAACGGCACATGTACCAGTAGCCTGTTTATGGTGACCATGCGTATCCAACGCTTCATGACGAGGTGAGGAGGATAGATGGAGCCACGATGACCTCTACAAGTGTGGTCGAGAGGCATTGCATTTCGATCGAGCTTGGTGCTTGGTGTGGCGCTTCAACCAAGATCGATTCCTGGCGACGACGAGCGCTCGTCTCTA